TATTGCCCATTAGTCCTAATTCCATACTTTGATATAAAACAGAGAGGAGTTAAACCGTCCACCACTCACCAGGTTATAAAAGCAACAAATCTAGAAATCATTCCTAATTCCTTCCTTTTCCACTCATTCCATCCTTCTCTCACTGATTTAGTTAGTCCTGTCAGTTCTAAATCCAAATATACATTTCATCCATCCACTTCCTTCCATTTTTACTGCCACTAGATGGTAGTCCAAGCCACCATCATCTTTGACCTAGACTACTATAATAGCCTTCTAAACAATCTTTGTGTTTCAGTTCTCATCTTTCTGAAATCCACAAATTATGTATATACTCCAAAAGTATATATGCAAAAAAGTAATGTAATATGATTCATTAGGATGCAAAAAGAAATATAAGAAACTCTACTTACATTTATTTTTATCTTATCCTTTTCAATTTCTATTCTGTGTAAATTTTATAATGTCCCTAAATTAATACAATATGCATGAGTGTAATTTATAAATAAGTAAATATACATATATTAGGAGTACATGCTTAAATATTGAATACTATTTTTTAGATATCTTCTAATGAACATAATGGAATTATTTCTCATCAGAATTTGCACACTGCCTTTATATGATGTAAAGATGAATTACAATTATAGTTCTCATTTGTCACTTTTGCTTTTTATTAAATTTGTAGGCTCACATATTTAATTTCTCAGATACATTTATATAGTCTTATATAGCTAACATGTAAAAAATTTATTTTTTAACTAAAATATCTTTTATTTATCCCAGTTAGATTTTTCTTACATCTTGTTTTAAATTTTGAAACAATCTTATACTTATGGAAAAATTGCAAGTAAAGCACAAATAATATTTTCCCGAATTGAGAATTAAGAGCCAACATGATGTCCTATCAATACTTGAGTATTTCCTACAGACAAGGGTATTATCCTATATTAGCCACACAAAAAAAATCAAAATCAAAAAATATTGTTATTCCATTTCAATCCTAAGATCCCATTTAAGTTTCACCCGTTCTCTAAATAAGTTCTTTATTGAAACTATTCCAATTCAAAACCACATATTGCATTTAATTGTTATGCCTCCTTAGTCCCTTTCTTTTTTTATCTTCCAGCTTTTATCTTAGGTTCAAGGGGTTCATGTGCAGTTTGTTATGTGTGTAAATTGCATGTCACAGAGGTTTGGTGTACAGATTATTTCATCACCCAGGTAGTGAGCATAGTACCCAATGGGTAGTTTTTCAATTGTCATCCTTCTCCCACCTATCACCCTTGAGTGTGCCCTGATGTCTTTTGTTCCCTTCTTTGTGTTCCTGTGCAGTAAAAGTTTAGCACTCACTTATAAGTGAGAACATGTGGTATTTGATTTTCTGTTCCTGCATTAATTCACTTAGGATAACAGCCTTCAACTACATCCATGTTACTTCAAAGGGCACGATTTTGTTCTTTTTTATGGCTGCATAGTATTCTGTCAGTTCTATGTACCACATTTTCTTTATGCAGTCTCCTGTTTATGGGGATTCAGGTTGACTCCAGGTCTTGCTATTGTGAATAGTGCTGTGAGGACTTATTTTCTCAGGTTGTTTTTCTTTCTTTTCTTCTCTTTTTCTCAATTAAACGAAACTCCCCTACGTGCTCCACAGAAAAGCATATCAATTAAAAATATTTTTTATTAACTGTCATTAATATGTAAGATTATCATTCTTATCCCCAATTGCAGTGCTAACAAACATATAGTTGATTTTTCATTATTTAAAGAATCAGGGGCAGCTCTTTCAACTGCTAAATCATTCCTAAGCTATCTACCTAATGCTGATCCTTTTTTAAAGGAGACAATGAAGCAAACTTGGCAGAACTTTTCTTTTTTGACTTGTCTCATTTGTTATTTTTGAAATGCTCACAAATCATGTACTTTTAAAAAATCATTATCAAATTTTTCAGGGATCAACATAAGCCTCACTATCCGGTATACAAATCCACCCTTTCTTTCATTGGAAAGTTGGAATAGATTTGCTTCTCAAGACTTCTGGCATCTTTCCTCTGCTCCTTGATTTTCCAATAAGTTCAGATATTAACTCTTAAGAAAGAATAGAGAGAGCATCAGACTGCCACTGCTGATTGAGAATCAGTTTCACAGCCTGGTGGAGCAGTTTGAGGGTGTTGGGGAGAAAACCACAACTTCTTTACATCTCTATTTTCCTATCCATAAAAGGAACTTAAGTAATCTGACTTCTCACTGTTGTAGTAAGACATAAATGCAGTAATACATATGAAAACAATCTATAAATTATAAAGCTTTATGCAAATGTTAGAGACACCTGATTCAGCCCTCTGGGATAATAACTGCTAAAGCTATCACTGATTAAATGTACTCTTCTTACTAGACTCTGCTACTTTCCAATGCTTGCAGCAACCCAACATGTATTATTATCCCTATTTTACAGATGAGGAAACTGAGGATCAGAGGGATTAAGTACTTCCCAAAGCCACACAGATAATAAGCAGTGGAGCAAATTGAAACCCAGGTCTGTTTGATTCCCACACCCTAAATTACCTGAAATTTCCTCCTATTCCACCATAGAGGCTAGAACTCACTTAAGCAGGAGCTGCCCTGAAAACCTCTTCCCTGTTAGAAGCTGTTGTCAAACTTTTATGTTGCTGGTTCTAAATTTTCCAATTTAAAAACAATTGTACTATCTAGAGAAGACAAAAACCTCATAGTTGATTAATAGCTCCGAACTCTTATTTATCTGCAAATGCGACACCATTTTCTGAAAGCAGCAAACGTCTTCTTGCCTTCTCTTTATTTTCTGCAAACTTTTCCTGTATTTTATGTTTTTCATAAGTCTCTTTTCTTATTGCCTTTGCCACTAGTTGAGAAAATAACCGACTTAATTAGAAATGCTTATTAGTTTATCATTTCATGAATTAGACATTCCCCTCAAGTCCATATTCTGCATAATATAATTCTTTTGTTAATAACTCATCCTCATGAATGATTCCCAAAATTTTTACCCATATAGATGTCTCCCTTTTTAATTTCCTCCAAGTTTCCATTAATGGGTATTTACTGATTTGTCATGTACTTGTGTGGAAAATTAGTTTTTTTCTAATTTTTGAAAACATCCACCTCTGTCTAAAACATTTACTTGTTAAAAAATTAGATTTCCACAACTGAATGTTTTGTATCCTGGACTGGATCAAGAGAAGGCCAGGTGCAGTCACACACACCTGTAATCCCAGCACTTTAGGAGGCCAGGGCAGGTGGATCACCTGAGGTTCGCTAACTGGAAGGTTGAGGCAGGACAATCGCTTGAATCTGGGAGGCAGAGTTGTGATGAGCCAAGATTATGCCATTGCACTCCAGCCTGGGCAACAAGAGCAAGACTCCATCTCCAAACAAACAAACAAAAAAAAAAAACAAAAACAAAAACAAAACCCAAACCAAAAAAACAAAAAAAACAAAAAAAAACAAAAAAAACAAAACCAGTAACAATGCCTTCTAAACTTGGTACTTATAATGTTTATTTCTTTGGGAGCTTTTTACATTTTAAATTACCACAACCATGACTATTGCAAAACTGACAGCTAAATGATCAGCAGAGTAAACAGGGTCTATGTGAAGGCTGCTTTGGAGTAGTGATCAGATATCACTTCAGTACCTGTAGAAACATCAGTGTGTGGCTGCAAGTAACACTTCAAAAAACTCATAGTTTCATCATGGTATCATTAAAACATTAAAAATAAATTGAACTATTTATCCAAGGCATGTATAATATGTTGGCTTTTCGGATTAAATCACTGTGAAAAAGTCACTTTTGACCTCAATTTTTTTTTTGTAATTTGATTCCAAGAATACTTACATATTTACCCTGAAAATTTTCTGCAACCTTAATTTTTTAAAATTTTTATATTTTCTATTTTTAAAGTGTTTTCGAACTTATAACTATAGAATCAATCAGTTTTAAAATGCCATAAACTATCTGATATATCTCGGCCCAAGTGAAAATTCATACACTTGTGTAATAATACCCCTTCTTGGAAAACACCCTTGGCAAAATATCACTGGAAAGAGAAAAATGCAAGAAACTAACATTCACTTAATTTTTAACATATTAGAAAGTGTTATGTTTTCTTGGACTATCCTATAAGTGATTATACTTTTTTAAAAAGGAGACATTGTGGGAAACATACATAAGGATGTATTACCTGTTATTTTTGGAAAAATAATTTGTAGCACTAGCTAAAACTTTTATTCTAAAATGATTTTTAAACAATAATGTATTGTGTAGTCAGAAACTTCTTTCATGTTTCAGAGATCCAACAGATTGGAGATTCAGAATGAACTATTGTTTGACGAACAGGAGATTTTTCTATAATTTTTGCACGTATTTTTAGTACTTCAGAGTTAGCTTGAAATAAATGATCTCAGGAAACTATTTAAAAGATAATGATTTAGAAGGTCCTCAGGTTAAAAGCAATAAGAATAATAATCTGATTCTATATGTCTTTTCTTATCTTGTCAGTTTTCAATCATATAATTAAGAGATTAAAGTTTATGCAAATTAATTCTATTATAAGAACTTTAAAAAGACTTTGAGGCTGGACACGGTGGCTACTTTGCGCCTATAATCCCAGCACTTTGGGAGGCCGAGGCAGGCAGGTCACTTGAGGTCAGAAGTTTGAGAACAGCCTGACCAACATGGTGAAACCCTGTCTCTACTGAAAATACAATTAGCTGGGCATGGTAGCATGCGCTACTGGGGAGGCTGAGACAGGAGAAGTGCTTGAACCCGGGTGGCGTAGGTTGCAGCCAGCTGAGATCATGTCACTGCACTCCAGCCTGGGCGACAGAATGAGACTCTGTCTCAAAAAGACTTTGAGATAAGTGGGAAAATCTTAGTTTTAAAAGTGCTGGTTTAGATCGAAATGTATTTCAATGTTAAATAGGAAGCAAATTAGATTAAGACTTGTGAGTAAAGAGTAGAAATGCTGAATTGGTCATTTATCATTGGGGTCGATTATAATTTAGCCATCATCCCCATAGAAACATTATTTAATTTAGGAATTATTGTTTTATGTAGAATATCTCTTTTATCCTGCCCTGAAAACAAAATTTTTGCTCTTTTCTTAAGGTATCAGATACACACAGGACTTCAACATTCTATCATAAGACCTACCCAACCCAACTGTTTACCTCTGGACAATGCCACCCTACCTCAGAAACTGAAAGAGGTTGGATATTCAACGCATATGGTCGGAAAATGGCACTTGGGTTTTTACAGAAAAGAATGCATGCCCACCAAAAGAGGATTTGATACCTTTTTTGGTTCCCTTTTGGGAAGTGGGGATTACTATACACACTACAAATGTGACAGTCCTGGGATGTGTGGCTACGACTTGTATGAAAACGACAATGCTGCCTGGGACTCTGACAATGGCATATACTCCACACAGATGTACACTCAGAGGGTGCAGCAAATACTAGCTTCCCATAACCCCACAAAGCCTTTATTTTTATATCTTGCCTACCAAGCTGTTCATTCACCACTGCAAGCTCCTGGCAGGTACTTTGAACACTACCGATCCATTATCAACATAAACAGGAGGAGATATGCCGCCATGCTCTCCTGCCTAGATGAAGCAATCAACAACGTGACATTGGCTCTAAAGACATATGGTTTCTATAACAACAGCATTATCATTTACTCTTCAGATAATGGTGGCCAGCCTACGGCAGGAGGGAGTAACTGGCCTCTCAGAGGTAGCAAAGGAACATATTGGGAAGGAGGGATCCGGGCTGTTGGCTTTGTGCATAGCCCACTTCTGAAAAACAAGGGAACAGTGTGTAAGGAGCTTGTGCACATCACTGACTGGTATCCCACTCTGATTTCACTGGCCGAAGGACAGATCGATGAGGACATTCAAATAGATGGCTATGACATCTGGGAGACCATAAGCGAGGGTCTTCGCTCACCCCGAGTAGATATTTTGCATAACATTGACCCCATATACACCAAGGCAAAAAATGGCTCCTGGGCAGCAGGCTATGGGATCTGGAACACCGCCATCCAGTCGGCCATCAGGGTGCAGCACTGGAAATTGCTGACGGGAAATCCTGGCTACAGCGACTGGGTCCCCCCTCAGTCTTTCAGCAATCTGGGGCCGAACCGGTGGCACAACGAACGGATTACCTTGTCAACTGGCAAAAGTATATGGCTTTTCAACATCACAGCCGACCCATATGAGAGGGTGGACCTATCTAACAGGTATCCCGGAATCGTGAAGAAGCTCCTTCGGAGGCTCTCACAGTTCAACAAAACGGCAGTGCCGGTCAGGTACCCCCCCAAAGACCCCAGAAGTAACCCTCGGCTCAATGGAGGGGTCTGGGGACCATGGTATAAAGAGGAAACCAAGAAAAATAAGCCAAGCAAAAATCAGGCTAAGAAAAAGCAAAAGAAAAGCAAAATAAAGAAGAAGAAACAGCAGAAAGCAGGCTCAGGTTCAGCTTGCCATTCAGGTGTTCCTTGTGGATAAGCACAAATTACTTCCTGTTTGGTTAGACTTAAATCAGTTCTTATCTTTCATCTGTTTCCTAGGTAAGCCAGCAAAATTTGGCTCAATAATATCTCTGCCATAAGCATCAGACTTGTTTCATGCTGTGCCACTCCAGAGACTTCTGCCACCTGGAAGCCACACCAAACACTGCTCTGCTCAGTGCCAAAGGTGCTACTCTTGCAAGCCACAGTTAGAATGGAGATGTTTATTTCTCTTGCTCCTTTATAAAACGTGGTCTGTCTTCAGTTCTACTGCTGTGCTTCAGTCAATTGACCAAACACTGCTTTAAATTATAGGAGAATAATAACCTACCGTCCACGAGCATGCTAATTTGATGGAAGTTACAGGGTAGCATGATTAAAACTACCTTTAATAAATTACAGTTAAAGATTGTGTCACCTCAAAGGCCTTGAAGAATATATTTTCTCGGTGGATTTTTGGTATCTCTGTCATATGACACGTGGGTTTTTTAATTAATTCTATTTTGTGTGTGTATATATATATATATGTGTGTGTGTGTGTGTGTGTGTGTGTTTCTTTGCCTATGAAAAATAAGCTGTTTTTCTCACATATGAACAGCTTGCACCTCGTTTTATCATGTATGAGGGAATGGCAAATAAGAATGTTTGAGCACACTGCCCACAATGAATGTAACTATTTTCTAAACACTTTAAGAGAAGAACATGTGAGTATAAAATATTTAATTTATTTTTACAGAAAAATAATATTTTGTTTTTGTAAAAAGTTATGCAAATGACTTTTAATTATTTTTTCTTTTCTGCATACCATCAGAAGAATTTTATTTCATTTCTTCAAATTACCAAGCACTGTAATACTATACTGTAATACTGTGTGACCATACACTATGAAAAACATCATTTATAAAACATAATCATCATTGTTCAACCATGATTTTGAATGTAGTAAGATGAACATATTCCTTACAAATTACTTGGAAATTCAATGTTTGTGCATAGTTGAGACAACTTTATTGTTTCTATCATAAACTATTTATGTATCTTAATTATTAAAATGATTTATTTTATGACACTAGAAAATTTAGTGTGGCTTTTTTGATCTAACTTTTAGGTAAAATTGAATCATTCATCCTAACAAACAAAAATCTTTACTAACAGGCAATTGAAGGAATGGTTTGCTAACAACCGTAGTAATACAATACGATTTTACAGAGAGATGCTTCCACTTAGCTACAGCATGTAGAAAGCTTCTTCACAATTCTGGGATACCTGTTAGATAGGTCCACCCATATAATAAATAATACTTATATTAGGTTGGTGCAAAAGTATTTGTGGGTTTTGCCATTAAAGGTAATAATCTTACTCTTATATAAAGTGGACACTGGGGAGACACAGAGAAATGGAAGATACGGATCCTACCTGGAGTGAGTAAGCTTGTTTGGAAATTCCACATGCAAATGTGATGAAGAGAATAAAGGAGTATTATCATTAGTAAAGTTTATCATGGGTCGTCAATGAGCGTAGGTTGGTACGGTTCCTGTAGACCCTGGAGTTTTCCTTGAAGTGTCCTCTCCTAATGCAGAGGCCTCTAAGCCTCACATTATACACCTGAAAAGTCACGGATAGCTAGAATGGTGATCTTTGAAGTTAAAACTGTGATAAGAAAATGTGTGTGGTGGTATGACAACATACCATTAAATACATTTGAATCACAGCTCAAAGGACTGTGATATAATACATTTATATCACAATTCACAGTTTGTAAAAATGTATAAAATAATCTGTAATCTAGTACTGAAATTATTAAATTGGGTAAGATGATTTAAAGGATTTTAATTTTAATATTTTATTTCTACAATATATGGCTCCATTTTATTTTCTAGTGTAAACTTGTATTTCCTAAAGTTAGTGTTTTGTTGACATTATCTTTTAAATAAGTCTTAAAAATAAAGGCATATTGTTCATGTTTTCCTTTCCTGGTGGCACATAAATAGTGTGTCTTAAAATAGATGGTATCTTATACATTTTTTAAAAATAGACATCTTTACACTAAAAAAGAGGTCTGAGAAAAGTAAGTTGGGGAGCTGCTGAGTTAAGCAAAGTCAAAGAAGTCACTTTATTACAGATTTTCTTCAAGTTTTTAAAACCTTAGCTTGCATTGTAACTCTGATAGAAGGAAAATGTTACACATAATTTATTTCACCACAAAACTGTTCTCTGTGGCACAGTGCACAGTACTAGGGTTCTGAGAAACTGTACTGTTATTGGAAACATAGTGTAAACATAGAATCTTCTAGAAGCTCCTAGAAAGACAAAAAGAAGCAAAGAGGCAAGTTAAGATTATGAAATACCAGTAGGTATTACCTATTGTGATGTAATTCTAAGTTCTCAATAAAGATTATAATCTTCTCTGTGAAAATAATTTAGCCCACAGTGTTCTACTGGAAATGGCTTCATGGATGTTGATCACTGTTTCAGAGAGTACCTGCCACCTGCCCATGGCGCCAGGCAGGATGTGGTTTACCAGAAGTCTCAGTGTCTTGCCCTCAAGAAATTAAAATCTATTCTAATAGTCATGTATAAATCATGAACAAAAATGTTTCCAAAATGCGGTCAGAAAACCACTAGGAATTTCAAGATGTCCAGAAAGGAAAATATTGCGTGCTTGAGTTTTGTGCCCTAATCAGTGATGTCGTGTTTGTACAGGGCATTCATTCTCCGGTGTTAGTTTCCTAAACTGTGATCTTCAGGATGTGTTTCTAGGTTGCCTGTGGTTCTTTCAAGTGTAAACTGCACCTCTTTTAAGCCTCTGATCTTTCTTAAGGTTTCAAAAGAAACTCATTAGCTTTGTCAGAAAATAATTTTTGAATATGGCTATGTTTCGGGGTTGAGAAGGGATATGAAAACATTTTCTTCAAATAAAAATATCCACAACAAAAACATTTGTAATATCTTTCAGCCAGTGAAAATATCTACCTCAGGTCTGTCAACTGTCAAGTCTACCTAAAGAACTTCTTTCATCTGTATTTACACACTCTTTCTTCATTTTTCTAAAGATTGAATGGATATTTTTGTTTCTTGACAGGGCCCCTTTTAAAATATTTAAGAATAGAGGCACACTCTCGTTGAGAGTTGAATAATTATATTTTTTTGTACTTTCAACATTCCTCTGTGAGAATATAACATATTAGTGTGCATGCCTCCACGTTATTTCTTTATATTATTGAACAGTATTTTATTATATAGATATACCATTTTTTAAATCATTTCACCTGTTAGTGGACACTTGAGTTGTGTCCAGGTTTAAGCTAATATGGCTAAAAATGCTATGTATTTCCGTGTGCAAGTGTTTCTTAATTTTCTAAGGCAGATGAATTTTGCATCAGGATCAGCTTCTTAAGCATTTTATTCATACCATTTTTGAGCACATAAATTATAAATTTGTCAGTAGCAGTCAGAATGTGTGATATTGGCAAAAAAAAAAAAAAAAAAAAAAAGTTCCTTGCCAAAAACAGTACAATTCCTCTATGGTAAACTATAGCTATATTGTTTCCTCAGGGACAAGGACTTCATAGATTCATTCATTCATTCAACAAATGCTTACTGAGTCTTACTCTCTCAGGCAATTTTCTAGGAACTTGGGTTATATTAGTGTATGAAATAAATAAACATTCTTACCCTTGGGCAGGCTGTCTTCTAGCTGAGTTAAGCAGACACTAAATGAAAAACATAACTAATTATAACATTATACAGTATATAAAGTGGCGTAAAAAAAGAGTAGATCAGGATAAGGGGAGGATTCACTCTACACCAAGTTTATCCATTCATTCATTCAGCATTCGTTAAGTGCCGCATGGTGCACACTGGGGTGTGATGGTAAGCAACATCAGGCAAAGTCCTTGCCTTTGGGTAGTGCCCCTGCCTTCAGGTAATGTACATTCTACCAGAAGCTGCAGCCATGAACCAATAACCAAACACCTCATCTCCGCCATCCTTCTACCACGGCTACCCCTCTTCCCTGCTTGATCTTTCTCCTTAGCTTTTAATATATTTCAGATTTTACCCACAAGTTTTCCTTGTTGTCTGTTTCATTCCCCTAGAATATAAGCTTAAGAAAAGCAATTTCTGTAAGTTCTGTTTACATCTGCATGGCCAATATACAAAACGATGTCCAACTCATATTTAGCACTCAATGTTTTTGAGTGAATAAATAAAATAATCACATTTATCCATTTGTTCAGCCACATTTGCCTGTTTCCACTTTCTATTTCTGGCACAGGGATTTCATTGTTGAAAAATAGAACTAATCATCCTTAATACCTTTAGCAGCAGTCATATGAAATGTAGCAATTTCTAACACTGTAAGAAACTAACTCTAATAATGTATAGTTATAGGAACATGGTGTTACAGCAAAAGCAAAGCAAAACTTATACAAAATTGAGAGCAAGTTTTATCTATCATCTTTATTACATAACAGGATAGAACATGATTATTCTACCATTACTTGGAATATTACAGAATACATTAGCTTAAATGAGTTCCCAGAAAAAAGAGATGGGGGCTTAAATTGTGAATAATTTTTTTGTACCAAATTAAGAAAGGAAAAAATATAATTAGCAAATAAACCTCTATGTCTTCATAGCAAATAAACCTCTATGACACCAAATGGAATATACTTCACATCCTTGGAGATTTTATTACAAAGCTCTCCAATTCGGAAGAGCAGAAATTCTACTTTTTTAACGATATATTTTTCTTAAACATTTTCCTAGTCATAGCATCTCTATGAATTTCGTTGATTCGTTGATTAAATATGGCATTATTTAAAACACAGAACCAGAATGCGGTCTTTGGGGATTAGGTAGATTTGGACGTATTTACCTAACTTTCAATTTCATATCTATGATTTAAAATTTTCTTACACTCAAATTTACTACAATTTATAACATTTTTTGTCAGTTGGTTTATACAATTTTAGATAAAATCATTTCCAATAATTGAAAAAGACACAGGAGAATAACGAAGGCTTATTAGAAATGTCTACCCCTCCACTCTTTATAGAAATTCTTTAGCCTACAATTCTAAGTAGGGAGTATCTTATAGCATCATCAAATAAAAGTAAAATTATTCTTTCAGTATAAAAATCCACAAGTAATTTTTACCCTTTCATCATAGTAATCTCTCTAGAAACAATGCTTTAAAAATTAAAGTTTCTTCAACTTTGAGAATTATGAACAGGGAATACCTTTAGCCGACCTTCTAAATCCTAAACAACTGTGATTTAAACAAACAAACAAACAAAAAACCTTTTTATAACCAAGGTTTTTTTTAAAAAAAAGAAAAAAACTCTTGATTTAATTTAGTATCTGAAATCATATTTTTTAAATGTCATCATCATCAGAATTTCCACAGGCTCCCTTTCGGCAAGTTAAGTCCTCAGTCAGACAGTTATTCTGTCTCTAAGGCTGATCTCACTAAAACTTTTCTATTTTTAGTTATTCCTAACTCAAGTAATCCCTTCTAGCAACTAGGTGGCGAATTACAAGCATAAAAAGTCCTGCAATTATTTCTACTATACGGTCAGACATAATAGCAACAAAACAATACAGCGTAAACTTTTGTTTCTTTTCAAGTTTTGCTCAAAGTCCTAACGGTTTAACATAGTGTTTCAGAGATGAAGGTCACTGCAGCCGAGTTCTCTCCCAGCTGGAGCAGTGACGGCTGCAGTGGCAGTGGAGACTAGTTGCGGTGAGTGGGTGGAGAGGTTTATCCTCTTATCTTTTTATGTAGCCCCTTGCCTCTGCCCTTCTCAGCATCCCGGCCATGCCCGAGCTCTTTCTTTCTGAATTCACATGCAACCATGACTCCGCATTTTACGTTCTTGGCACCCTTCTCCATACCCGAATCCCACATCCTTTTCTGCCGCAGAAGGAGGCACATTATACTTATGTCCAAACAGAGGTATCAACAAGTGAATCTCTTCCTTCCAAAGTTCTCCCAGCATAAAGGGATGAGTGTGTAGAGCTATCTCCACCTTCAGGGGACAAGGAGACCTGAGCTCCATCCCTAAACCTTCAAGGAGCTGAGATGAGAGTAGGACTGGGCGGTCAGGAAGCCAACAGTGTTCCCACTTGCGTTAAGTGAGGTACCTGTCCCTTCAG